ATACCATCATGTACCGAAAACAAGTGCAAGTATAAAACTTTGAAGTACAGTAAATATATTTTGTGACTTCAAATGTGTGTATATTAATATAGAAAACAAGAAAATAAGCATATATATAAAAACAAGAGCCTAGGTATTTTATTTAAAATGTTCATCAGTTCATTTAATTCACTAAAAGCCACAGTCTGGCAGGAAACCCAAAATATTTTAAAAACAATTGTTAGACTAGATAAAACTGTGATATTGTCTGTGACAATTCTGATTTAACCATACATTCAGTAAAATGAATAAAAAAAATAATAAAATTAAAAACAAAATTTTAAATATCAAGCAAAATTACTTGAAATATTCCTGAGAGTAAATCTCTGTTTAAGAGATAGAGAGTGTCTTTTAAAACTCTCCTCATTTTAGGGGGACTTCATCACAGGCGAAGTAATCCTTCAGTGGAGCAAAGAGATGCCTGATCACTGGGACACTCCAGGATTTACCCAACAACTTCTGTCTCTGCATGCGACCCATGTTCTTCACATCTGTGTAATGCTTCGGAAATCCAAAAATCCTGACACAAGTACAAGAAGAAGTAGTGGTGAAATCGTGGGTTTAATATTAATATAATTACCTACATACATATGAATGCAAAAAAAAGTAACTAACTTCTCCAGTTCGGTGATCCATAAACCGTCATCCTTTGCATTCATGGAGACGGGGAAATGCTGGTCATTGTTTCCCTGCTTGAGGGAGTTTGTGCGAGTGGTGATAGTCCGCACTTTGACATACTAAAAATAATTGCACACATGGAATAGAGGTTAATTAGCACAGGTCAGTCCAGCTTTAGCAAATGATAGTGGAGTTATCACACTTCCACTTTTTGCTCATTTGCTCTATCAGCCCCAAAACTAAGCCATACATAAATTATATTACACTTCCCCCAAAATTGCTAAAAGAAGCTAACAGTATAGGTTCAAACTTTTAAACACTTAACTCCACTTTTACACTTTTATTAAACGCTCTGCATTGTGTTACTTTCCCTTATTGATTTTCATTGTTATGTACTACATGCTTAAGATAAAAAAATGTGTCAGACCTTAGCAGTGCGGCCAGTTTCGAGGCATTCCTGGAGGGTCAGTTTGTCATTCTGAGAGGCGATGATTGGTCTAGATAAGAATAAGACAGTAGTGTACAAAATGTACTCGTTTTGCTGAGTTAAAGGATTATACCAGTGTTTATCAACGTATCTACGCTATGGTGGTGTGAGTGTCATTAACGTTTCCCTGTATGGAAAAAAAATAAAAAATAAATCACTCATAATGAAAATCTAAGGGCAGCTGTTGGGGCTGTTAACATTTTTGTAGTGGGCTTTAGGTAAACAGGTTTTCTGTTCTTTCTCAGTACAAGGAAGTGTTTAAAAATTCTTGATTCTTGTGGCAATCGTTATTATGCTATAGACACAATGTATAGAGTTTAGTTTTTAAAAACTAACTAAAAATCAACTGCAGTCTCCATAAAAGGTACGAAGCAGTTTTGTAGTGAACATGAAATACATACCTGTTCATGCCTGGCAGATTCCCCCAGAAATACCGCGCTCTGTGGGCTGGGCTTACTTTAACAGCATCAACAAGCACTGGGTTGCACTGTTAACAGAACACACACGTGCACACCACAAAACAAGAAAATGGAAAGAAATAAGGTACCTTAAGGGCTGTACAAAGTAGAAAAGAGGATAAGGGTAAGGGTAATTCACAAAGCATTTCAGCTGTGTCTATGCCTGTAAAGCAGACCAGAAAAATCTTATGTCACCAAGATTTAATTAAAAATATGATCCTAAATGCCTGCAGCAGTGTTTAACCAAGCAATTGAGTTAATTAATGAGAGCAGGCCTTTTGAAAAGGTATTGTCCTGATTCTAGATTACTCAGGGATGTGGTCACAACTAAGAATTTATCTCTGTTTTTAACAACATCACTCACTGCCTCACAAAAGCAAGTTAAGTCATAGAGCGTAGATGAACTCCAAAGGCCCTCTTGACACATTGCGCAACAAATTTAAATAGTTTTATTTGAGAAGCTCAAGACCATGGTTGCTCTCAGGTACAGTCAGCTATATAAGAGCACAGTGTAAATCGAATGCTATAATATATACTGGTAGTCAAACTGTCTGTGAGGATTTAGATTTTTGTTTATATATAGGAATCAAACGTGCAATATGAAACTGTGAACTGGGAATTGCGTACTATGCAGTGTGTACCATGTCAGCCAAATGCTGCTAATATCCATTCATGAAACATGTAACCTTGCCCCTCACGCACAGATTGGGAATTCCTTAGTAAAAGTTTCTTCAGCAGGTTTGTGAATAGGTTTTAAGAAGAACTCTAAGTTTAGCGCCACTTAGGAAAACATGCCAGGGACACCTAAGACAACACTAAACACACAAACTGCCTGAACAAGACACATTCACATGAACAGCACATAATTCTGCAAAGCCTTACTTCAAGGAAACGGCAGATATCAGATTTGTCCCTGGTGTTCATGAATACAACATTCTCAAAAAGCCAGAAGAATGGTCGAGGGTCATCCTCCTTGGGCTTCATGATGTTCAGCAGCCGGTAGTACTCAAAGAAGAGCCGCCCTGTGCCCTCTGCAAGCAGGAGAGGTTTGCCATTAGGGAAGAGCTCATTATAACATTACATAGTGTTTAAGAAATGCCTACTGCATGAGTATTATAAAATAGTCTTGACATTTTATCTTAGAGAAAGATTTACACTACTCACTAATTTTGATGGATAGGTTGAGGCTAATTAGGTTTAATGGTAATGAGAGTTAATGAGGTTTGGATGCATATCCAACACTGTGTACTGTTCCGGACAATGTAAAACGTTGCGAACAGTTACTAAAAGTGCTTATCTGTTTGCCTTTCCTTATCTATTAACCATAAAAACCTCTTTTTTTACATCACATTTAGATTATTGTGATTATGCACAAATAAGAGTAACAAATCGAAGATCAAAGAGTAACAAAGCAGAATGTCATACCAAACAAGCCTTTCCGTGCTGGATTTACTATGGACAAGTCGTTACATGGGCTGCCACCAATAAGAAGGTCAAATGGACCCCATTTCTCAATCTGAAAAACAGTGCAACAGGCTGACAGTAGACTTTAATTTTGAAATACATTACTGGGGTAGCTATCTCTGTTCTCTGTATCCCCGAGAGCTCTCAAAATGAGAGCAGCTTATTAATACTTTAAACATTTACAGATTTTGACTTACTTTATGGTTACAGGGAAAAAAAGGGAGAAGTGACTGAGTGTAGAACATAGAAACAACAAAGTGCAGAAAAGGCATATACATACATGCTTCCTAGTGATTCCACGGACATCGTCCACTTGGGTGATTTTTCCATCATGGTTCACCATCGAGACGGTGATGGACTCATCATCTATTTCTGATGCAACATATCTTTCCACTTCAAAGCCCAGATTCTTCAGTACCAAGTATCCTAAAATGTAAACACACACATACTATTAACATATCATAGACATGACCAGAGGAGGACTCACAGATGTAGACTATAAAGCACAACTGTACCCATGTGCTGCTGGTCTTAATGCACACAAAAGTTCCCTACCCTATCCAATGTTATGGGAACATTTTATATATATATATAATATTGAAGTATTCTTCCAAAATGTGTATGTAAGTGATATGTTTCACATTACAGTGTTGTTAACATACATGGTTTTACCATCCCAGTGGAAATACTGTTAAGTTCTGGATTTTATTTTAATTATCGCCATTCTTGTGGATATACAATTCTGTGGATATACCCCTCTATACCTCAGTGCCAACAGCTCCCTCTGGTGGAAAATCTTCAGCCAAACACAAGTGCATCTCATCTAAAAACACCTTATGTCCACCCTTCTGTAACTTACCTGTACCTATACCATCGAATAAGGAGAGGACCCTGATTGGACGTCGCTGGTTGGCAGGGATTGACGGATAAACCCGATGTGGCTCCTGAGAGTGAGGACAAAATCAGTGGTATCAAGTAAGTAGTTACTCTTGCAAATTTCAGTAGGGTCTAAAAAACACTTCTCCAGAAACCTACCATACCCAGTACTTCACTTTGAACACCTTCAGAGCCATTTTTAAACCTTGCAATGTTTATGCTGTGTACAAAATGGATTTCACAATTATCAATCAATTATTGTTGCTCATGGGAGTTTATGTGCTCCAGAAAAGGAAAAATGTCAAAATTATCAGACTGATAACAGGACATTCACAAACAGGGTGGAAGGCTCTAGACACAACACAATTCAACAAGATGTGTTGACTTTGTGCACATAGATTTCTTTTATTTCTATACCTCGCAGTATTTAAAAAAAAAAAAAAAAAGTAATTACTTGCTGCATTTAAAACAAAGTATAATTTGGTCCATTATGAAATTATGCAAACTATGCCAGTGTGTTTATTATACTAAGGGGTGTACATCTAAAATGACTAGGAAGCCATTTTGGATTCGGTCAGAATGTGTGAATTGTTCCTGCGTGAAAACAAGCTAAAGATGGTGGATTTTTATGTGGATCCAAGGTTGTTTGGAACACATAATGCATCACTACTGTTGATATTCACTATGTTTGTGCCAGGGTCAGGGGTATAGGCTAAGTTTACAGGGTAAGCTACCGTTACAATAAGAACTGATGAACACTAAGAAAACACATACAAATTCCATGGCACTGTTGTTGGCAAAGAATTCCTGGACACGGATACTCCAATCATGTCTGGGTCTCAAAGCCCCGGAGCTTCTCTCTGGTGCACACAGGTAACAGATCCATGGGTCCAAGTCTTTTAGCTGAGTAAATGTGCCTTTACCAATCAGGATATCCAAACAGTCCACACAGTAGGAGCTACACACAGGAGAAAAAAACAAGTGCAGCTTTTGTTTATACAAGTGAGTATAAAGCAATCAGTCCAAGTGAGAGAAATAACAATAATATAATAAGGGGGTCCCTGGAGGAATAGTGGTTAGGCCACGGTGCCCTCACCACCGTGACTCGGGTTCGAATCCCGGGCCGGGGACCCAACCCCAGCCAACAGCATACAACAGTGCGCTCTCAGCGCCAGTCCCAAGCCCAGATAAAATTGGGGAGGGCTGCGGCAGGAAGGGTATCCAACATAAAAACTGTGCCAAATCAAAAGACCCCTAATGGGAGCAGCCAAAAGAGAAACAACAACGATAATATAACGAGAAAATTTGTACAAACATGTATGAAATTCATTTGGAAATGGCATAATTTTGTACAGTTTATATAAAACTTTGTCTTTGTGTGACTTTTTATTGTAGACATTGCTGTTATGTATCACATAAGCCTGATCTATGCTTCGTCAGAACAACTTCTGACGAAGAGCTGGTGTGCACAGTCTTTCAGCACAGTGAGACGATCCTAGCTGCACATCAAACCGGGGCAGGAGTAAACAACAAGAGATGATGGGTGAAAGTACACATTTTGCTGTCTGTTCAAATAAAATGACACCCTCTTCACATGAGATTAGGATGTTGCAGTTTTTACTGGGGCCACCTCTGAAGAAGAAGGGGAAACAGTTACTTGAAAGCTTGATCACAGGCTACTCAATTTTTGACAGAGCAAAAACAGTTGAAGCCTCTGATATGATACCTACTCTTGCCTAACAGGAGTTGAACCCAATGTCTTCTGCTGTTTTAGCTCATCTGCCTCAAGGTTTGACATGTTGTGCTTCCTGAGATCCTTCTCTGCTCCCTACAGAACTGCCCGCAAACTTTTTTGCATTTTTTTTTTGCACCACCCTCTGTAAACTCTATAGACTGTTGTGCATGAAAATCCCAGAACATCAGCAGTTTGATGAAGTAACCCCCACAAGCCCCACCCACTCATTTTCTCTCCAATTTGGTCACCTGCCACTCCCCACCCATCAGCTAGCTCTCTCCTATCATACAACTACTACCAATCAGGAAGGTTGAAGGCTAACGTTCTTCTTCCGAGACACGTGAAACCAGCCAACCACATCTTTTTCAAACTGCTGCTCATGCCATGTCACATGGCAGTGTAATCCACTTGGAAGAAAGCGGTATCTACCCATTTCTCAAGTACATGAACTCATAGAAGGCAGCGACTGGCGAACATTGCTGTGATTGACAGTGGAGAGTGACTATGCCAAACTCCCACCCAGAGAGCATAGCCAATTTTGCTCCCTTGGTTCCCAGCCATGGATGGCTGTGGCATCATTGGGATTGGAACTTGCAATCCGCCAATAATAGGAAGAAGGTTTTTATTCTGTTGTGCCACTCAGAAGCACCCATTTAATGTTTGATGTGAAACTTGTGGATGTTTCAGGAGAGTTTCAAGCATACAGTGGGAGGTCCTGGCATTCATTAATTTGTCAACCTCATACACCTTCAAATGGAAGAACAATTCAGGCTTTAGTCTAAGTCATCATAAACTCAGGTCATTCATGGCCATGTGATGTTAAATGTACCAGACAAACACAGACAACTCAAGTATAAGAATGCATGTTTCATGGTGCACCATGGTTATAGTTGAAACAGGAAGCACTGGGCAGATATTGCATAAACTCCTTTGCTGTAATCATGAGCCTGCTGCTTCAACATTGACTTATGAATGGTCATTCAATTCAAATTTACTTACCGGGAACAGCTGTCATGTCCACACAGAATGACTTCCAGCCCAGCACAGCACACAGTGCAGTATGACTGATATCCATCTTCATCATACCGATATAATGTCTCTGTGAAATTATCCTACACAACACACACCCACAGGTATGAACAGTCATCAGCATAATACTACAAAGAAGATAGAGATACTACACAGATAACAGAGAGCTATCACCAGAATGTAAATAACAAGGAGACTACTACCTAAATACATGAATTCACCTAAAACATTTAAAGGAACAGCGATGGGGGAAAAAAAGTACCCCCTCCTTCAATTCTATGTTGTTAAAGCAATTTCTCCCTGGAATTAATAAAGTTCTTTGAATCTTGAATCTTTATTTATTGGGGCTAAATAACAATTGTGAGGTCCTCACCAGATTCTATAAACAAACAAATAACCAAGTGACAACCAAAACCACAACAGATTTCAATATATAGTCATTTTTTTCCCAAAAAGCAAACCAACATTCAAGCAAAAAAAGGCAAACCTCCTACTTCCATAATCATTAAGAGAACAATTAACAGCTAGGTGTTGCTAAGGAAATTATTAACTGAAAGATTAGTTAATCATCAAGAAGTCTGACTACCTCTATAAAAGCAGACCTTTTGGCAGGTTAGTGTTTTGGAGCATTGAAGTGTGTGTACATCATGTCAAGAAGAAAGGACATCAGCCATGACCTCAGAGAAGCAATTGTTGCTGCTCATCAGTCTGGCAAGGGTTATAAGGCCATCTCCAAAAAAAGTTGAAATTCACCATTCTACAGTGAGAAGGATTGTTTACAAATGGAGAGCCTTCAAGACAGTTGCCAATCTTCCCAGGAGCAGGCATCCCAGCAAATTCAGTCCAAGGTCAGACTGTTTAATGCTCAAAGATATAAAGAAAAACCCAAGAGCCACATCATGTGACCTACAGGCCTCTGTAGCACATTAAATGTTAATGTTAGCCCCTGATAACTAAAAACATAGAACTGAAGGTAGGTGTACTTTCTTTTTCCCCACGACTGTATGTGAATTATACACAGCCAACAAAATCATAAAAAATATCATTTACAGTTAGACTATGAAATATAAGTTCTACACTGTAAACTGTATTCTAACAAAAGGTGTATTTATGGTGAACAGCTGTTCCCAACAGTACCTTGCATTTCAAACACAGACTGCCCTCAAACAGTGGGTGGAAGATCTCGATATGTGCGGTTCCACATGATAAGCAGAAATCTTAAGAATTTAAAATAAGAATGAAGTTACAAAACTAAAACAGAGTTACAACAATCATGGTGCACTCAACAACCAATTTTCCCACCTTCAATATCCTTCCCTTTGAGCAAAACCTCATGTGCCATTTGATCTATAAAGTAAAAAAAACAAAACAAAAACCTTTACAAACTCAAATGAATAAACCACTTTGTGAAAAGTTATACTTAACAGGAAAGATATACATACACCTGTTGTAGTCTTGCTTTCCCTGAACAACTGAGCTTTGGTCTTTGTTTTGATCCTTATTCTTGGAAACACATTTCTGTTTTCTGGGAGCTGGCTGACTGGCAGATAGAGAGAATTTCTTTTCATTCTGTAAGGAAGACTGTTTTGATTTTGCATACGAAAGCCTTTCCTTCACATTTTCAACCTTTAGGTCCAACCGGCCATTCTGCAGGTCCAGAGACAGTCTCTTCAAGCACACAGACACTTCTTTTAAGTTGCATAACTTTTCTAATTTCTCTTGATCTTTCTGAGTCTCACTGACAATGATTTTATTCCATTTTTGGACACTCCAACTGAACATTTTAAGGCATTCTGTAAATGAACACAATGGACACAACAGATCAGTTTATGTTTAATAAGCTTTAGAGTCTCCCATGACACAACTTCGGGAAGTTGAAGTGGTTTTTTTTAATGAACTTGTATACCATCTTCTCTTGATCGTGGTCTGAGTCCATTTGGTCCAGATGGTTTAAAGCCTCCAAAGGCCCAGTCCAACATTAGTCTAAGCAGGTCTTCCTTAGAGTCTGAGTTGAGACAAAAGACTTTTCCTGCACGCTCAGCAGCCACCTGAAGGCACACAGGAACAAGTTGAATGACACAGGAAGAGATGACACACATTCTTTCCCACAACAACCAGACAGAAACAAACTGTGGTATTCAAGCTTTAAAACAATCTGGAGGCATTGAATACAATTTAAATTAAAATGGTGGGATGGGGGGACAACACTGAAGAGAGGGACTTCCATCAAAATAATTGAATATACATTTAATACCTTTTATGTTCCAGGATATATAAGAATTTAATTATCAAATATTACCAACAGCCCATAATTCTCATACTAGTGAAGAAGTTTTGAAACCTCTACTTAGCACCTATGCAAACAGGAAAACTATGCACTCTACAACACTACACAACAGGCAAGAGTAAGCAAACACTGACAACAAGTTCTAGTAGAGTGAACCTCTAATCATTTGCTGTCAGCATTTATGGTAGTTGCTCATTTTCAGTGTGAGTTGGCATGGTACAGCAAACAAGAGAAAGGACCATGGAAATTGGGTAGGGAAAATGGCACATAATTGCCAAGGTAGGTTGCTTAACTTCAATATTGCCAAGGGATAGTGTAACACTTCTGTTTTCCCTCACTGTGCTATTTGTTTTCACATACTAGTCTTTAATTGCAGCTCCTGAGCCTGTCAGTGTGCTGCTATGGGCCCACTGAAGGCCCACTAGCAACCAGGGTACATCAATATGAGCAATATGTGGAGAAAAATGGCTGCTGGTGTGAGTGCAGCATATAGGTCAATGCTGAATCTGACCTGCAAAGAATGAAAGATGGCATCTTTGTACGTCGTTACCAGAGCAAAGGAATTAGGGCAGAAGTACTGTGCAAATGCAGCGTAAGGCCGCAGACCATCTGAATGAACCTGCAATCGTAGGAACGGAAAGGGCATGTCAACCCTGAGCGGCTTGAAGATTTAGTGCAGGACAAACAAACTATTTGTACTCTTACCTTAGAGACCATACCATCCCCAAACCACACCACCTTACGAATATGCTTTCTGGGTTTCCCCTCAGTCCATCTGTGCACCAGGCCAGGAGACAGAGCAAAGCCTTCCACCTGTCCCCATACCATCTCCCCTGCTGCAAAAGGCTTCCCATCCTACAGGTGTGGACAAAGCCAAAGGAAAAACAGCACAAAGTGTTTAGTGAAAAATGTTCCATATACCACCATGAAGTATTCTTGGGTTTCTTCGTCTGAGGAGCTCCTTAAATATTATACATACAACCCTACAACTAAGGATTTCCCTTTTAAAGTTGGGATTCTATGTCAAATTTTGAGAACTCAAATACCCAGTGAAGTCTTGAGGAACCCATTTTGAAAGTG